ATAATTGTTTCTTATGCTGGACATATGGGTCTCCTGTCCAGACCAACCCCTCCCACCAGGTCCCACCATCACAATGCAAACAGCATGGAAGGAAACTAAGTTCACGGAGGGCCCTGGGCTGTTTAGACAAGGAGTAAGGTCACAGGAGTGTCTAAACATTGAATAATGAATTCTGACCTTAAATGAAGCAGTGAAGTCTACTATGTTTTAGGTGTATTGGGTTTTTCTGTGAACCCTTGGATGTAAGGATTTGGTTTTCTGGGTGTTAATTAGTCCCTGTGTTTTGCGTCTAACCCCTTATTGCTTCCAGCTGTCCCTTGTTTCCGAACCTCTGTATTTAGTCCCACCTGTGTCTGTGTTTCCCCGTCGGGTCATTGCTGTCTAGTTGTATGAGTTTTGTAGTTGCAACAGTGTCAGAGCTACTTGCCTTTTACTCATCTGTCCTGCATGGACTTTGTACTCTTTTTGGACTTCATTAAAGCCATAATTTTTCCACTACTACCTGGGTTCACCACGTCCAACTTCACCATCAAACAACCACACTTCATGACAGAAAGATCCAACTAAAGTAACGGTGAGGTCACGGAAAGGACAAACATTTACAACATGGACCCAGCAGATTTGCTTTTTGAGAAAGGGTTTAAATATTTAAAATCTACAGTCAAGGACTATATAAACACTACTCCCAAACCATACTCTGCTTGCAGATGCCTCGGATTAACAACCACATGTGTGTTATTAGCCTTAGAGGATTGGACACCTCATCCAATCCTCTAAGGCTAATAGAGGATTGCCTTAGGGTTGGGGTTTTCTGGACTTGGTAGTCCAGAACTTTTACTTTTCTGGACTTGGTAGAGTTGTTGGAGGCAAGGTGGGAACGACAGGTAGCTCTGGCCATAATGGCTGGGGAACCACTACCATCGAAGCCGGGTATAAAGAATATAAAGCTGTCGGCTTTATATTCTTCGTCCTCCTCCACAGCTCCAATCTCCCCTCTTCTTCAGCACCAGCCAAAGCTCCAGCCCCAGTAAGTGAGCCTCTGGCTTCCCCCAATGCTCTGTCCAAGCTTTCCAGTGCTCAGCCCGAAGGTAGCCTCCCTGAGGCACCAGCTAGCCTCCGAGAGCCCGAACACATACTTGTGGGGTCTGCCAGCACTCCTGGACTTCCTTGTGCCTCCAGGAGGCCTCTTCGTGGGTCCTGCCGCACTCCGCAGCCTCTTTGTGGGTCTGTGTGGCCTTCCGGTCAACCTCTGAAACCTCTTTGTGGGTGCCGCCACCGTCCGGGCCGCCCTCCACAGCCTCTTTGTGGGTCAGTGCAGCCTCCTGGCTGCCCTCCGCAGATCATCCTCACCATCAAACAACCACACTTCATGGCAGAATGAGTCTTGGATGAGCTGTTGGACTAGGCAGTAGCAGTTTTAGTAGCAAAGCTCAGACCTGTTCCATGATTTCTGACATTTTGGATCTTATTGTGGTTCTGAATAACAGTCAAGGAGATAAGGGACTGACTAATCCAGGTGAGACTAATGCAGGGCAATGGGATAAAGACCTGAATACAGAAATGACTAGAGCTCTAAGATACACAAAAGGATTTGATTAAAGCGAAACCTAAACATTAAAGTAACTATTCTTATCTATATTTGTGTCCTCCCTCGGCATTTCAGGAGTACCATATGAATAAGCAGGATGCCTACATCTATGGAGTACTGCTCTGGCAGCTGAAGGAGGAACAGCTTATCCTGCTCTCTCTCGTCCTTACTGATAACTTTGCCTGTGAATTATTTTTAAAGTCACAATTTTTATAATTATATTTACATTATCGACATCATAACTGGATTACTCCAAACCTAAGGACTGGGAGATTTTCTCACTTTTATTTTTATTTTTACCTTACTTTTCTTCACCTCCAACTTGAACTAGGGCAAAATGCCCCCGTCCGACCCCTTATCTTTACACCCGTCTTCCTCCAGAATGTGTCTGGCCCCCCGGCACCGCGCATAGCAGGACATTACTTGATCACTACAAGAAAAGTTACAAAAAACAGAAATACCAAAAGCAGCGGTCTTAATTCAAACCTCAGACTGAAGAACTTTCAGCTTCCAAGTCACTTAAACTGGCTCTTTTAAACACCAGATCTCTCAGTGGTAAAGCTCTATTAATTAATGATTTCATCACCAAGCATAATATTGATGTTTTATTTCTGACAGAAACATGGCTGAATAACAATAATGAAGCAATCGTACTAACTGAATCAGCGCCTCCTATGTACATTTTTTTTAAAGTGAGAATAGAAAACATATAAAAGGAGGAGGCGTGGCTTCAATAATTAAGAATACCATAAACTGTAGTAAAATCTCTTTGGGTAATTTCACGTCTTTTGAGTATCTTGGAATTGAGGTAAAAGGCCAGAAATGAACTTTGACACTAACTTTATACAAAACTCCAACATTTCAATCTGGAGAGACTCAGACGGAGAGAGGGAAGCAGTTAAAAGGGTTTAATGACAAAAATAACATGAAAATAAACACAAAGTTCTTTGGCGATCAGGCCCCGGCCAGGGACGTCGAGCTGGACTTCGATAAGCTCGATGAACATTCCTGATGCAGCGAGGGAATGTAAACCCCCCAAAACGGGGCAGAGGCCGGGGCCGAAGCCTGGGAAGGAGGTGCTCGTACAGGGTTTCGAGAGTGACTTAGGAACGGGAGGAGGCAAAAATAAGGAGGTGACTTAGGCATTAGAAATAAGGAGGTGACTTGGGCATTAGAGGAGGAAAGTAGGGACTCGATAAGGAGTGAGGTGGATAAGGGCCAAAAGGGGGCGCCCCGGAGCGGTAGTGATTGGCTGCTGGGAGATGTAGGCCAGCAGAGGTTGCCGCGGGGCGCAGAGCGAGGGGATGCTGGTAGATGAAGGCCAGCTACTGGTGACTGGGGCGATAAAGGTTTAGCGCTGGTAGATGAAGGCCTGCTGCTGTTAACTGGGGTGAAAGGTGAGGTGCCGTAAGAGGGAGCTGATGGGGCATGAAGCTAATTAGCTAAGGGTGAAGGTAGAGGAGGGCCTGGGGTAGAGATGGGTGGAGCTAAGGCGCGATGTGGGAGGGTTTCTAAGGAGAAACGTTACCTGGGCCGGGCTGCACGGGGATGGGGAAAGAGGGGTGGGATAGAGGAAAAAGAAAGTTTGGAGGTTACTAGGGCTAAAAGCTACAATGGGACCAACTCACGGGAGACGGTAGAGGATGAAGAGGGATGGAGATGAGTGAAGATGAGGCCTAAAAGGGGAAGAAAGGACATAAAGAGAAAAAGAGGGACGAAGGGGATGCTTAGAGGATGGGTAACGAAGGCCAGGATGACCAACCACCACCAGCGAATGCGCAGTACTTACCTAGTGTTAAGGAAGAATTTCTAAAATAGTTAACTTTGGTAAAAGTTTGGCTCTCTCTCTCTCTTCCTTAGATCCCAGGTCCTCTCGGCAGGCCACGTGTAGCCACAAGGAAACAACAATGTGTGTTGACGTCACAGAATTACAGAATTTAATCCAATATAAGACAATGCATAAACTTAGAAGTAAGACAATGCACAAACTTACACCAGAAACTGCAGAACAACAGAGACATACATTCATTTACCTGACAGACTTGGAAAAGAAGGAAAGAAAGAAAAGCAAAGACGTGCAAAGACATCTTTGGAGAGTTGCAAGAGCAAATCTGATTTGTTACTTCTGTGTAGAAAGTTTTATCCTCTTGTATTTAATTTATTCAAATAAGGCGTATCTTTGCTCATCCAACCAGGAGCTATCTCTGACCCTCTATCAAGCTAGAAACCCCTGCCGTGTTTACGGCCTTTCACAGATGAGTGTGAAAAGCTACAACTTCCACTGTATTTTCCCACAGACAAAAGGCAGTTCAAACGATCCTAGCAAACCATCTGCTGTAACTACAAGTAAAATAAAGGTCAAAGAGCCAGAATAAGTTACTGATTTAAAACCACAATTTAGGCCATTTGAATCAAGACATGTTAAGTTTTAAAACTAGCTTATTTTAAATTTATTTTCTCAACACTAGGCACTGAGAGAACGTTGGGCCGCGAGTACAGAGGTGACGTCTGGGCGGATGTACGCTGAGAACGCTGAGGACGACCATCGTCCGAGCTGCTGAAGGGTCGTGGCGGGGATATTCTGAGCGGCTGCAGACGTGGCGGCCCCTATTCTAAAAGAGTGGCCCGAGAACTGATTGGGCGGGAGGTTGCATGAAGCCAGGAGCTCCCTCAGGTGGTTAACGAACCAGGAGGCGGACATGGGTTGGCCCTCGGGAGTGATGAACAGGGGCCCGGAAGGGGGAGTTAACTTGTGACGTAGGAGCGCAAACTTGAACATGGCGCGGAAGGGGCAGAAAGGGCCGTTGGTGCGAGCCACGACGATGGTGCACGCGCCTCTGGACTTGGAATGTTTGAGAGCTGTAGAAGTCGGGGTGGAACTTGAGGTCCGAGACCGCTAGATCTCGGGAGGGGACGAAAAAATTATCTGGAGTGGAGAACTCGCCCAGGCGGAGGAGGCCGTAAAAAGCCAAAAGAAACGAGCTTGAGAGGAGAGATTTCAGATAGGGGGAGTAGGGTTTTAACTGAAGGGCGATGAGCAGGTCTTTGAGGATGGGGAGAGTGATGGGTAGACGCCTATCAGGGAGGGTGGGATGCCGTTTAGAAATGCCCTTCAGAAAAAGTTTCACGGCGTGGTTGGAAAAAAGGCTTAGCGAAGGGAGGGGCTGGTGAAGCTGCGAGAAGAAGTTGACGCCGGCCAGGAGGCTGCGAATGTACGAAGGCTTAAAACGAGAGTGCTCGAGGCAGAAAGTAGCGAAGGCCAGAACGGTGTTGATGGAGATGGGTAACGTGGGAACTCGGTGAAAGGAGCAGAATTTAGTGAATTTAGACCAAGCATAAGAGTAGGATTTAAATGTGGAGGGGGCTAGGCCATTCTTGATGTGAAATTTGGCTGACTGCAGCAGGAGGAAGAGGGAGGCGGGAACTAGTTCAGGCAGAGGCTCCCGAGAGAGGGCACCGGAGTTGGAAAGGGGCTGGCTGATGGGCAGAGTTGACGGAAAGTCTGGAAACGAAGGCGAGAGAGAGCGTCAGCGATGGCATTAGCGTGGCCCGGGACATGACGCGCGGAGATGATAAAATTATGGATCACGGATTGCCATGTAATACGGCGTAGGAAAGGCATGATAGAACTGGAGGAGGAGCGACCTTTATTGATGGCCTCCACGACAGCAGTGTTATCGCAGAAAACGACGATACGTTTGCGAACCCATAAATGTCCCCAGACGCAGCAAGCGGCAGCAATGGGAATGATTTCATAAAAAGCCGAGGATTCGGAGCGAGGAAAAAGGTAGGGGCCATTTCACAGCGAACCATCTGTCCTGGAAAAACCCGCCGAAGCCCGCAGAAGGTGCCGCGTCTGTGAAGAACTGCATATCGTCGGCGGGGGAGATGACGTCCTCGTAAAAAAAAAAAAGAGATGCCGTTCCAGCGGTCTAGCAGTTCGGACCAGAAGGAGAGATCGGAGCGGCAGCCGTCGTCCAGAGAGACCTGATCGAGCAGGTGAGGAACCGAATTAGCGAGATCGAGAAGCCGGGAGATGAAGGAGCGCCCTTGCGGAATAATGCGCATGGCGAAGTTGAGGTGCCCGAGCAGCGAGAGAAGGTCGCGTTTGGACAGGACGGAGGATGAAAGATGACTGCGGGAGATCTGACGAATGCGGGCCAATTTGTCCTCGGGCAGGGAAGCTAGCATCTGATCGGAATCGAGGTTAATGCCGAGAAATTCGAGCTTAGTGGATGGGCCGAGAGTTTTTTCGCGGGAGAGAGGAACGCCGACGCGGAGGAAGAGGTCTTTCAGGGTTTGCAGCGAGGTGGGGGGGGAAGAGGGGGAATCGATGAGCAGAAAATCATCGAGGAGATGGAGCACGGAGGGGAGTCTAGAGACGTTAAGGAGAATCCAGCAGAGAGCTTCGGACAGCGTGTTGAATAGGTGGGGACTGCTCCTGCAACCAAACGTAAGGCGCACGAAAAAATAATATTTGCCTTCCCATCGGGCTCCCAGCAGATGCCACTGGGACGGATGCACGGGCATGATCTTAAAAGCGTCTGTGATGTCGGCTTTGGCGAGCCAGGCGCGCCGCCCGGCCGTTTTAATGAGCGAGATAGCGTGATCGACGGAAGCGTAAAAAAGAGAAAAGGGTGGTTTTGGGATGAGACTGTTAATGCTAGCGTGGGGACCTGAGTGGGGAGCAGACAGGTCCAAGATGAGCCGTTTTTTCCCCGAATATTTGCGAGTAGCGACTCCGAGGGGATTAACGCGATAGCGGGGAAAAGGGGGGGATCTAAAGGGACCGATAGCGTAGCCTTTGGACACCTCCTTTTGGAGGAGCGAAGAAACGACTGCCGGTTCTTGGAGCGCGGATTGAAGGTTAGGGATAGAGAGGGAAGGGAAGGGGGACTGAGGGGCGCCGATCAGAAAGCCCTGAGAAAGACCGGAGATTAGAAAATTAACGAAGGTGCGATCGGGGTGGAACTGGAGAAGAGACGCTAGTACTGAGACGTGTATGGGAGTAGAGAGGTGCCAAGAAACTAAAGCTTGGAATCTCGACGGTTTTTCATTGGAAACGGGCGGCGGGGGCAGACTGACTTGGGGTGGGCTTCAGCGCAGAGGCTGGACTGTCCTGCCGTGGCGATCTGTCGGGAGAAGGGGAGGAATAGAATGCGAAGGAGCAGCGGTGGAGCGGTTGGCTTTAAAGGGGAGAGACGGACAAAAGGAGCTCTGGTGCCCGGAGGAACCGCAAAGATTACAGGTGACTGCGTGGGTAAGCATGATGAGGATTTCTGTGTCTAAAATAGACCAGTCTAGGCGCTGACCAGAGCGGGAAAGGACTGCGGCTGCTTTGGAAGCGAAGGCTTTGTGGTATTGATAAAACAGCGACCTGCCATATTGGATGTGGAGATCAGCAATAAGAGCGAGGTAGGCATCTAATTCGACTCGACGGTCGGGGTAGACAGAACAAATGACGTCTCTATAGATGCTGANGGGTTGATCGGGGCTGGTAAGCGGAGGAGGCTTGGAGTGAAGGTCCTTTTGAACCTGAGCCTGGACGATGATTGGCTGGAGTGAGGCGTGGACCTGCGTTGATAGGTCCGGGTGCGGAGAGGGAGGCACTGATAGCAGGGCCAGGTGCGACAAAAGAGTCTTCCAGCCTGAACTTCAGTCAAGACTCCATTTCAATCTGGAGAGACTCAGACGGAGAGAGGGAAGCAGTTAAAAGGGTTTAATGACAAAAATAACATGAAAATAAACACAAAGTTCTTTGGCGATCAGGCCCCGGCCAGGGACGTCGAGCTGGACTTCGATAAGCTCGATGAACATTCCTGATGCAGCGAGGGAATGTAAACCCCCCAAAACGGGGCAGAGGCCGGGGCCGAAGCCTGGGAAGGAGGTGCTCATACAGGGTTTCGAGAGTGACTTAGGAACGGGAGGAGGCAAAAATAAGGAGGTGACTTAGGCATAAGAGGAGGAACTAGGGACTCGATAAGGAGTGAGGTGGATAAGGGCCAAAAGGGGGCGCCCCGGAGCGGTAGTGACTGGCTGCTGGGAGATGTAGGCCAGCAGAGGTTGCCGCGGGGCGCAGAGCGAGGGGATGCTGGTAGATGAAGGCCAGCAGGGGACGCCGGAGCGTATGTTGGTGAGAGGCTGGTAGATGTAGGCCAGCTACTGGTGACTGGGGCAATAAAGGTTTAGCGCTGGTAGATGTAGGCCAGCTACTGGTGGCTGGGGCAAAAAAAAAAAGGTTTAGCGCTGGTAGATGTAGGCCAGCTACTGGTGACTGGGGCAAAAAGGGTTTAGCGCTGGTAGATGTAGGCCAGCTACTTGTGACTGGGGCGATGAAGGTTTAGCGCTGGTAGATGAAGGCCAGCTACTTGTGACTGGGGCGATGAAGGTTTAGCGCTGGTAGATGAAGGCCAGCTACTTGACTGGGGTGAAAGGTGAGGTGCCAGAAGAGGGAGCTGATGGGGCATGAAGCTAATTAGCTAAGGAAGAAGGTAGAGGAGGGCCTGGGGTAGAGATGGGTGGAGCTAAGGCGCGATGTGGGAGGATTTTAACAGAGAAGCGTTACCTGGGCCGGGCTGCACGGGGATGGGGAAAGAGGGGTGGGATAGAGGAAAAAGAAAGTTAGGAGGTTACTAGGGCTAAAAGCTACGATGGGACCAACTCACGGTAGACGGTAGAGGATGAAGAGGGATGGAGATGAGTGAAGATGAGGCCTAAAAGGGGAAGAAAGGACATAAAGAAAAAAAGGGGGACGAGGGGGATGCTTAGAGGATGGGTAACAAAGGCCAGGATGACCAACCACCACCAGCGAATGCGCAGTGCTTACCTAGGCACTGAGAGAACGTTGGGCTGCGAGTACAGAGGTGACGTCTGGGCGGATGTACGCTGAGAACACTGAGGACGACCATCGTCCGAGCTGCTGAGGGGTCGTGGCGGGGATGCTCTGAGCGGCTGCAGACGTGGCGGCCCCTATTCTAAAAGAGTGGCCCGAGAACTGACTGGACGGGAGGTTGCATGAAGCCAGGAGCTCCCTCAGGTTGTTAACGAACCAGGAGGCGGACATGGGGTGGCCCTCGGGAGTGATGAACAGGGGCCCGGAAGGGGGAGTTAACTTGTGACGTAGGAGAGCAAACTTGAACATGGCGCGGAAGGGGCAGAAAGGGCCGTTGGTGCGAGCCACGACGATGGTACACGCGCCCCTGGACTTGGAATGTTTGAGAGACAAGCTGTAGAAGTCGGGGTGGAACTTGAGGTCCGAGACCGCTAGATCTCGGGAGGGGACGAAAAAATTATCTGGAGTGGAGAACTCGCCCAGGCGGAGGAGGCCGTAAAAAGCCAAAAGAAACGAGGTTGAGAGGAGAGATTTCAGATAGGGGGAGTAGGGTTTTAACTGAAGGGCGATGAGCAGGTCTTTGAGGATGGGGAGAGTAATGGGTAGACGCCTATCGGGGAGGGTGGGATGCCGTTTAGATATGCCCTTCAGAAAAAGTTTCATGGCGTGGTTGGAAAAAAGGCTTAGCAAAGGGAGGGGCTGGTGAAGCTGCGAGAAGAAGTTGATGTCGGCCAGGAGGCTGTGAATGTATGAAGGCTTAAAACGAGAGTGCTCGAGGCAGAAAGTAGCGAAGGCCAGGACGGTGTTGATGGAGATGGGTAACGGGGGAACTCGGTGAAAGGAGCAGAATTTAGTGAATTTGGACCAAGCGTAAGAGTAGGATTTAAACGTGGAGGGGGCTAAGCCATTCTTGATGTGAAATTTGGCTGACTGCAGCAGGGGGAAGAGGGAGGCGGGAACTAGTCCAGGCAGAGGCTCCCGAGAGAGGGCACCGGAGTTGGAAAAGGGCTGGCTGATGGGCAGAGTTGACGGAAAGTCTGGAAACGAAGGCGAGACAGAGCGTCAGCGATAGCATTTGCGTGGCCCGGGACATGACGCGCAGAGATGATAAAATTATGGATCACCGATTGCCATGTAATACGGCGTAGAAAAGGCATGATAGAACTGGAGGAGGAGCGACCTTTATTGATGGCCTCCACGACAGCGGTGTTATCGCAGAAAACGACGATACGTTTGCGAACCCATAAATGTCCCCAGACGCAGCAAGCGGCAGCGATGGGAATGATTTCATAAAAAGCCGAGGATTCGGAGCGAGGAAAAAGGGGGGGCCATTTCACAGCGAACCATCTGTCCTGGAAAAAACCGCCGAAGCCCGCCGAAGGCGCCGCGTCTGTGAAGAACTGCATAGCGTCGGCGGGGGAGATGACGTCCTCGTAAAAAAAAAAAAGAGATGCCGTTCCAGCGGTCTAGCAGTTCGGACCAGAAGGAGAGATCGGAGCGGCAGCCGTCGTCCAGAGAGACCTGATCGAGCAGGTGAGGAACCGAATTAGCGAGATCGAGAAGCCGGGAGATGAAGGAGCGCCCTTGCGGAATAATGCGCATGGCGAAGTTGAGGTGCCCGAGCAGCGAGAGAAGGTCGCGTTTGGACAGGATGGAGGATGAAAGATGACTGCGGGAGATCTGACGAATGCGGGCCAATTTGTCCTCGGGCAGGGAAGCTAGCATCTGATCGGAATCGAGGTTAATGCCGAGAAATTCGAGCTTAGTGGATGGGCCGAGAGTTTTTTCGCGGGAGAGAGGAACGCCGACGCGGAGGAAGAGGTCTTTCAGGGTTTGCAGCGAGGTGGGGGAGTAACAGGGGGAATCGATGAGCAGGAAATCATCGAGGAGATGGAGCACGGAGGGGAGTCTAGAGACGTTAAGGAGAATCCAGCAGAGAGCTTCTGACAGCGTGTTGAATAGGTGGGGACTGCTCCTGCAACCAAACGTAAGGCGCACGAAAAAATAGTATTTGCCTTCCCATCGGGCTCCCAGCAGGTGCCACTGGGACGGATGCACGGGCATGATCTTAAAAGCGTCTGTGATGTCGGCTTTGGCTAGCCAGGCGCGCCGCCCGGCCGGTTTAATGAGTGAGATAGCGTGATCGACGGAAGCGTAAAAAAGAGAAAAGGGCGGTTTTGGGATGAGACCGTTTATGCTAGCGTGGGGACCTGAGTGGGGAGCAGACAGGTCCAAGATCAGCCGTTTTTTCCCCGAATATTTGCGAGTAGCGACTCCGAGGGGATTAACGCGATAAAAAAAGTGGGGGATCTAAAGGGACCGATAGCGTAGCCTTTGGACACCTCCTTTTGGAGGAGCGAAGAAACGACTGCCGGTTCTTGGAGCGCGGATTGAAGGTTAGGGATAGAGAGGGAAGGGAAGGGGGACTGAGGGGCGCCGATCAGAAAGCCCTGAGAAAGACCGGAGATTAGGAAATTGACGAAGGTGCGATCAGGGTGGAACTGGAGAAGAGACGCTAGTACTGAAACGTGTATGGGAGTAGAGAGGTGCCGAGAAACTAAAGCTTGGAATCTCGACGGTTTTTCATTGGAAACGGGCGGCGGGGGCAGACTGACTTGGGGTGGGCTTCGGCGCAGAGGCTGCATACATGGAGAAAAGCACAGGCGGGAAATGAGCAGACGCTTTCGTTGAAATTATTGCAAATCGGCGTTCGGTTGAATACCTGGACTGTCCTGCCGTGGCGATCTGTCGGGAGAAGGGGAGGAATAGAATGCGAAGGAGCGGCGGTGGAGCGGTTGGCTTTAAAGGGGAGAGACGGACAAAAGGAGCTCTGGTGCCCGGAGGAACCGCAAAGATTACAGGTGACTGCGTGGGTAAGCATGATGAGGATTTCCGTGTCTAAAATAGACCAGTCTAAGCGTTGCCCAGAGCGGGAAAGGACTGCGGCTGCTTTGGAAGCGAAGGCTTTGTGGTATTGAGAAACCAGCGACCTGCCATATTGGATGTGGAGATCAGCAATAAGAGCGAGGTAGGCATCTAATTCGATTCGATGGTCGGGGTAGACAGAACAAATGATGTCTCTATAGATGCTGAAAGCGGCTACGAATTGGCCCATAGAGAGGTCCTTGGAGAGACGGGGGTCGGACGTTTTGAGAATAGCTGTGAACTGTTCCGAAGACGCGATGTGTTGGTCGACTTCGGGGGAGGGCAGAATGATGGAAGCCAGATTTATGAGCTGGCCCTGGAGTATTTTGGAGCGAAGCCGGGGAGATATGTTGGCATAGACTGGCGTATAAGACGAGCCTGGAAGATGGAGAGTGTGGGGGGACGACTCAGTGGATTTAAAGAGTGAGCGAGAAGGGGAAAGAGGAGAGATAGACTTACCAGTAGGCGGGGCCGGATGGGCGTTGGCGAGGGTGAACGCCGAGGTGGGAGGAAGGAGGGCGGATTGCCCCCACCATCGGCGAGAGCGCCGATGGTGGGGGCAGAGGGCGTGGCGGCGAAGCCGGCGGTGGTCTGGAGCAGTAGAGCGGAGAGCGAGGTAATGGAACGCTGAAGGGAGTCCATGGAGGCGGCGAACAAGTCGGTGAGTGGGTGCGGCTGGGCCGAGGAGGGGGTGGGGGGTGGAAATGGAGGTCCGAAGAAGGACCGGGTCTTCCCTGGTTGAGGTCCGGGGTATGAAGAGCAGAGTCCTGAGTCGGGCGAGGAGAAGGGCCTTGGGCGCGCTGAGCCGGAGGGGTGGAGGCTGGGCGTCCTCTGCGACGTTTGGCCGGTGGATCGGCGGACTTGCAGGTTCGCTTCCTGCTGGTCGGGGGTGGCGATGGGGAACGAGTGAAAGGGTGGGGAGAGGAGTCCCTGGAAGGCAGAAGGGCGGCGAGAGAGGCGATCTGGGAGGACCGGAGGCCCGGGGTGAGCGTGACCCTCTCGACCTGAGGGCTGAAGCAGGAGACGGGGGATCCGGGCGGGTAGCCAGGCGAGCGCTACGGCGCGCGGGGGGGAAGGACGGAGGGACGGGGTCTTGCAGGGAGGTAGCTGGAGAGCCGGGAACGAAGTCGGAGTCGGACATGAGGAAATGCGTGCCAGGACGATCGAGGCAAAAAGCGGTTGATCGGGGCTGGTAAGCGGAGGAGGCTGGGAGTGAAGGTCCTTTTGAACCAGAGCCTGGACGATGATTGGCTGGAGTGAGGCTTGGACCTGTGTTGATAGGTCCGGGTTGCGGAGAGGGAGGCACTGATTGCAGGGCCAGGTGTGCCAAAAGAGTCTTCCAGCCTGAACTTCAGTCAAGACTCCATGTTAAAAAAATTCAGCCTATAAAAAAAATTCAACTTTTAAAAATTCAAA